TGGGGCAGAGAAGCCATGAATTTCTCGGGGTACCTATCAGTAATAACAAAAAAAACTTCTATTCCTTGAGATAAAACCTCCCACTTTCAGATAAAACAAACCCACTTTTGGGAATAACAAAGATTCCTACACTCCTTATAGAAGAGGGGGAGAAGTTGGGAGTGATGCTGGGAGGAAAGACTTCCATTACCTATTCACGGTATTTGATGGGAGGGAGGGGAAGGGAGCATATAAGATTTTTTGGAAATATTCAATATTTTACTCCACTAATTATGAATTTAAGTCTTATACCATTAACCTAGGCAAAAAATACACTTTCCCTTGGGGGGCGGGAAGGAGTTATTAGCTTGAAGCCATACATGTTTCAAATACCAATTTAGATTTTATCAGTACTTGAGACCCCTAAAAACAAGCAAAGAACATGACCACAAAATGAAGGGTTCCCATGGGGACCAGCAGGCTCTTGATGAGATTCCCCAGCCAGTATACAGTTTTTGACACTGTCATGAGGAGATTCCCAACCCCCACACCTGAATTGTGCATATACTACCTTTTCACTACCCTCCCTGATATAAGAAGTTAAGAACATCTCGTATTCTTTACACTGTATTTACCATCTCAGTATCGGGGACAACGTAGGCAGGCTTTAGCATGACTGCCTCCCGTGAAGCTCAGAGATGGTGTGACATCACCAGCAAGGTAAGCTGCCAAAACATCGACCTAATCAGGGAAAAATGGGATCCTTAGGAGAAGACAATAACCACTTTGGAACTTTAACCTATGAATGCTATTTATAATAAATATCTTTCTAACATAAGGTGAACATACTAAGTTTTTCTAATTTCTAAGCCATACTTTTTAAAAAGTGAAGATGATATGAACTACTTTTTATACTCTGAATGCTGAACTATCATCCAGCATGCTAAGAATTATCCACAAGATTATCAAGGTAAAAGATGAAAACAAACTGAACTTTGCATGCAAAAATGCCAAACAGAGAACCCACCTATTCAGAAAAGGTATGTTTTGGTGTTCCTATGTGCTAGGTCTTAGACTTGCTATCATGAACTAACTGGAAAGCATATTAAAAAGCAGATTCCTACATCTCACCTCTGGTCACTGATCCAGTAGTTCTGAAGTGGGCCCAAGAACCTACATTTCTAACTCACTTCTCCTGGTGATTCTGATGCAACCAACTTTAGGAATAACTGCTTTAGGATTTAGCAGCGCCTGAGGGACTTTGCTTCACTCACTGCAGAAATACTGAACATCTGTCATTTATTCAACACACCATCCATCTATTGCACAAAACCCTACTGGGCTAATGCTATTAGGAAGCCCCAGGAGAAACTGCTAAATAAACCACCTTTCACAGCACTTGATTCACTGTTTCAATATTCCAATTCCTAGAAATTCTACCAAATGCATACTAAATGCTAGGTGGCTTGGAAGACAACTTGAGGAGCACACAGACATTTGAATACTCACATATGATGTATGTACTAATTAGTCTACTGCAGCTTTCTAAAGGGAAAGAGTTTTGCCACATTAAATATAAGAGTTTTAAGAGCCTGGTCTTAGCCAAACTCTTTGAGCACTAAGGTCTCAACTCTCTTATTGGGGGCAGCGGCTGAAGGAAGAACTTCAGATGGGCTCCCATAAATTCTATTCAACTAAAGCAGTGTGAAAAGGTATGCCAGGAAGCGAGACCTACAGGGGCATTATGTGCAGAGCCTGAAAAGATCAGCTTGCCAGGGAAGAGCCAGGCTGACTACCACACAAAGTAGTAATAATACTGGGTCAACTCCAAAGTTGACTCAAATGATATGATAAAAGAGTAGGGAAATACAAGAGAAGTTTGAGTGAGAAGCAACATGAGGAGAGTAGTGTCTATGTAAGCTTAGCCCAACAGCCACTGCCGGGATGGACAGCAAGAAAGGTAAAAAGGCTAATTTATGGAACGGTATCCCAGAGAATGGAATGGTTTAAATGGAGCTTCCAAAAGGTACTTGAAGCAGCAAACATGAAGAAAAAACTGGCTCAAGATGTTGCCTAAGAATACAAAACATGTCTCAGTGAAAATAAGAGGAAATAAAAAACATACAAAGAACAAACAGACAAAAATGGTGCTGTGTAGTTTTGGAAAATGGTCTTCTTTGCCTCTCAGAGAAATCTGGGCCAAATTGAGGATACCAGCTGTTATCTGATATTTTTACAGGAACCGAATGGGGGCGGGGAAAGAAGTAGCCTGCTGCTTCCCCACCACTCCCACCCCCATTTCAGAAAATCAGAAGAGAAGTAGCAGATGTCACAGTTTAAAAGCCACAAGGCATTACTGTCCTTTCTTCCACATACTCTGCCCAAGCAGCTGGGCCCTGAAGAGAAAGCTGGGCAATGGGCAGGGAGGAAGCAGCTGTCATCAATGGACTCCTTGCAGGCCATGGAAATTTACTCTGGCGACCCATTTCCCCTGCATTTCTGCCTCTTGTGGACATTATTACAAAAGAACTTATAGCAAAAGAACTGACTCACTAGAATGAAATAAGAGTGGCTATTTCTGGAATGGAGAAAAGGGTATGTTGTGGTGTGAGCCATCCCAACCACCTATTCCAATTTCATCTTAACCACAACTCAGGACCTCAACACTAAGATAAATTAGCAGCAATTCTGGAAATCAATTTAACATGGGGAGGCCTGCAAAAGTCCTCAGGAGTACAGAGAGCACAGAAAACAAACTGAAGATAACTGGATATTAGAGGGGTTTTTTTTTTTAACAGCATTTGTTATTACTTAATAGTAACAGTGCTTAATAGTACTAATAAAACAGGGCGCCTGGGTGGCTCAGTCGTTAAGCATCTGCCTTCAGCTCAGGTCATGATCCCAGGGTCCTGGGATTGAGCCCCGCATCGGGTTCCCTGCTCAGCGGGAAGCCTGCTTCTCCCTCTCCCTCTGCCCCTGCTTGTGTTCCCTCTCTCGCTGTGTCTCTCTGTCAAATAAATAAAATCTTAAAAAAAAAAAAAAAACAGTACTAGTAAAAGGTTAACCTTTGTGACACAAAAAATGTGCAGAGAAGTATAGAAATTAGAAAAAGCAATTCAGATTAAAAAACCAAGTCCTTGTGGGGTGCCTGGGTGGCTCAGTCGTTAAGCGTCTGCCTTCGGCTCAGGTCATGATCCCGGGATCCTGGGATTGAGCCCCGCATCGGGCTCCCTGCTCAGTGGGAAGCCTGCTTCTCTCTCTCCCACTCCCCCTGCTTGTGTTTCCTCTCTCGCTGTGCCTCTCTCTCTTAAAAAAAAAAAAATTGAGGGGGAAAAATTAGATTTCTAATACAGTCTATGATCACAAGGACTTTTTTTTTTTTAAGATTTTATTTATTTATTTGACAGAGAGGAGATAGTGAGAGCAGGAACACAAGCAGGGGGAGTGGGAGCAGGAGAAGCAGGCTTCCCGCTGAGCAGGGAGCCCCATGCCGGGCTCAATCCCAGGACCCTGGGATCATGACCTGCGCCGAAGGCAGATGCTTAACGACTGAGCCACCCAGGCACCCCTTGCCCCCTCAAATTTTGGTAGCACAATAACCAGCTCATTTTCTGGCTAAAGAGTGAATTTTTTCAAAGGACATCTTCTTAATCAACAAATATGTAGAATTCTTGGACATCTTACATCCAAATATATTTGGGAGCCCCCCATACAGTTCCCTTTAGATGAGACAGAGCTGGGAGGCATTGCCTATGGGCCAATAAATATAAAGAATGAGATGTCAAAACTATCCAGAGCTAATGAATTACCGTAGCTGACAATTCTGAGAGAAGCAACTTTTAAGCACAGAGATGACACTGCATTTCCAGATTTCTGAAAAAATGAGCAGAAATCTTCTAGACAAGTCTCTAAGCAAGATGGATGCCACAGTCAGCCTTGACTAACTTCCCCTCACCACTTCAGGCTACAGTCTGAGCTGACTTCTTAAATCAAGGGTGGAAAATAGGTTCCAACTTGAGTCAACTGATAGAGGTTGTCTGGAACACTATTTTGAAAAATATTTGGGAGCCACATCTAGACTCAGTGAGAAAGACTGCCATGATTGATCGGCAATATCTGCACTGGGCAGGAGAGGCAAAATTGATGGCACGTGCACTAAGCATTTGCCAGAAGCAACATCCCTTTTATTTTCTAAAAAGAAATCTATACTGCAAATTGTATTTACCTCTTATCCAGACACAATCTATGTCGGCATTCCAAAAATTCAAAAAAGCTGGAAAATACCCACAAATTACCGACCAATTGTCTTGAAAAACATAACAGGAAAAATAACCTGTGTGGCATGTAAGCAGGTCCAGTCAGTCTCCTCAAAGTTAGAGCAGGGTCAGAACAGAGCCGAAGGACCACATCCAGCTTCCCAGCTGTTTTTTATGATCCAGGAGCTAAGAATGATTTTTACATTTTTAAATGACTGGGACAAAAGAAAAAGACTATTTTGTGACACATGAATAGGACATGAAATTCAAGTTTCAGCTTCCATAAATAAAGTCTTCTAAGATCACAGTCGCATCCATTCATTCCCGTAGTTACTGGCTATGGCTGCTTCAAGCTATAAGGGCAGAGCTGAGAAGTCATGACAGAGACTGCATGGCCCACAAAGCCTAACGTATTTACTACTTGGCCCTTTACAGAACAAGTCTGCCAAGCCCTAGGCTCAAAGAACTGGTCAAAGGTTTCCTCAAGCTAGACTTCTCCAAAGGAAGGAGATGTAATTCAGCAGGCTTCATAGAGTACTTAGCACAGAAAATTGCTGCCGTCCGCCCCTCCCCTTAATACAGGAGTGATTACATAAAATGCTCGTGAACAGTTTTCCCCCATCATGCAACAAACAAAAAATTCTGCTATGCCTCCCAGAGAAGTGTCTATGCGGGCATGAAACAAAGGAAGAGAACTACAAGAAGACCTGAATCATTTTTAATCTCTGTTCTGCAAGTAGACATAAAAAAAATTTTTAAACATACTTTGATTGTTTTGGTTTGAAGTCTCAATCCATTCAGGGTATTGATAGCCTTCTCTGCATCCTTAGGGTCAATGTAGTTCACAAAGCCATATCCCAAGCTCTGCCCTAATGAAAGGGAAGGAGAAAAAAGGCATATATTAGTTCTACACCACTGATGACAGAGATCCACTCTCATTTTGGCATATGGTCAGGTCATTAACACCAGCACGTTTTCTCAATAGTAAAAAGAAGTCTACATTAATTCTCCTAGAAATATACATGTGGTCTTCTTTTTTCAGCTCCTGTCTACTACATTTGCAAGTTTAAACATGTTAGAACTCAGCAAGCTGTGCATTTAAAAACAAAACAACAACCCCACCCTCACCCCCACATCTCCAAAGCATTCCATCAAACATGTCCTGCCTGAGCCAGAGCACCCAGCAGCAAATGCAAGGTTCAGCTTCAGAAACTGTGGGTGCAACTCTCCGCCAAGCTGCTGAGTGGGCTTCACGGGCACGACTTTTTCAGTTTCATTTTCTTTACCCATAAAAGGGGAAGGCGTCAAGCATCAACCAAGAATCTGTCAGCATTCTGTACATTGTACCCTGACGAATTTACAGCCTTTACCAAGTACAATTATTTCCACTTAAAAGGTGAAGAACTGTGTGTTCACATGTGCACGTATATGTACACATGTACATTTATTTTATAGGAGAGCCTCTTCAAATAAACTGAATCCAATTTTCTAAAAAAGGTCTGATGACCTACATAAAGATACAGGGAAATCTGAACACAAAGATTTACACCGAGTACATCCAAGCCAATGAGAACATGCAGGAAAGGAAGAAAGAGTAAAAGAAAAATAATAAAACACAATTTCTGAAGAGTTGCTTAAAAAGGAGTACTGTGTGGTTTTTCCCTATCATCTGAGTGCTCTAACCCCGGCTCAATGATATCCCAGCTCTCAAACAAAATGGAAGGTATTCAAGGGACTGTAATCAATGGAATGCACACATAATTCGGAAGGTCAATTTTTCAACTAAGAGGAAGTTTCTCAGTTTCAGAAGGTAAGAAACACTAAAGGAGAATAAGTAACAAAAATGGACATAAGACAGGTTTAGTCTACTAAAAATCAAACCAAACTAATTAAGGGTTTCCCAGGAGATGCTCAGTAAAGGTCCAAACACTTTTTATTAAATATATTTTTTCATCAATTTCATAGCAAACTGAGGGATTTTTTTTCCTTGATGAGAGAAGGTGCATGTGGTTATGAATACAGGTATTTAGGATAGCCACACTGGTTTCCCTAATGTGGTTCCCTATTAACTACACAAAAAAAGAGAGACAGAACACTAAATACAGTACCAAATAACCATGAAAACTTGTGGTTGTATTTTGGGACCATTATCAGAATTTGGGTGTTGTACAACACCCAAAACTAATATGTCAATTTACCTCAATTAAAAAAAAAAAAAAATTGGGTAATCATTGCTAAACTTATGCCCTCTTATCAAATTGCATTTTTTTTTCCTGTTTTTAAAAAAAGAGGGTGACAGAAGAGCTAAAACTCATTCGGTTCATTATTTTTTTCTCACACTAATCAGAAATTTTGTTTTACTCATGGTTCTATTTTTAGAAAGTTCCATGGGAAGCCACTGTATTTTAAGCATTCAGTTTTTACTAATTCGACATTTACCAAGGGTCTAATGCACGCATAGTGCCCTCTTACAAAATGTGCTGCAGTTCTATTGTCTTCGAGCAGGATTCAAATGGGCTAAACATAAAAGCTGCTCAAGGAAGCAGTTTATGATGGACACACAGGAGTTCTAATCCTGCCTCTGCTGTTTACCAGCTCTCTGACTTTGAAGAAGCTGCTCAACTTCTCCGAGCCCTATCGTCCTTATTTCTAAAATTAGAGTAATTTCTACCCAACAAGGTTGCTGAGGCAGTGATGAGAATATTCACTACTGATGAAAGTAAACCACTTTAGTCAAAAGATAAAATAAAAAAAAATAACATATCCACTATATGCTAATGAGGTTCCATGTATTCATTTAAAATTAAATCAGGAGGCCCCTGGGTGGCTCAGTCCATTAATCGGTTAAGCATCTGACTCTTGATTTCAGCTTCGGTAGTGATCTCAGAGTTGTGGGATCAAGCCCCTCGTTGGGCTCTGCTCCAAATTCTCTCTCTTCCTCAGCCCTTCCAACACCACCCTCCCGCAATGCTCGCTCACTCTCTCAATAAAATCTTTTAATAAATAAATAAAATCAGGAAGATGCTACAAATATAATGGGTAAAGGAAAGGCAAGCTGAATATTGTATAGTTTTGTCACACTGCTATTCTATAATAAAATATATCAAATCAATTAAAACCGCATTAAGACTCTATTTCTCCTATATGGCACTATCACACCTGCATTTTAGCAGCTTCTAATTAATCGAGGTGCTTTTTCAGCCTTGGTCACACACTGGAATCATCTACAAAACTTAAAAAAACCATAAAACAAAAAAACTATTGCCTGAGTCCTAGTCCCAAAGACTTTTATTTTATTGGTCTATCATGAAGCACTGGTACCAGGTTTTTCAAATTATGCTGATTCTAACATGCAGCCAAGGTTGAAAATCAGTTTCAATGGTGAGAGATAATCTGGGGCTGCAAATCTAGCATCTGGGACCCTTGAGAGGGGCCATGTGCTAAGGGTCTGGGCATGTGAAGACACCCTGCAGGAAGACTGTCTTTTTTACAGATGCATCTTCAGATACAAGTGATGTCTTCCCGCCAAAACCCTTCAAGTTACCCAGCACTTCAGAGAAACCATTCACTGGCCTGAGGAGGTCACTCTCAGGCACAGCAGTGCCTGCTGGAGTTGGGTCACCAGGTAAAGGAGAAAGCCTGCCCGGTCAATCCCTGCTTAGCTGTCCGCCAGGCTGGCCTCTGAGGGCTTACTGCTAAGCACACAATAGGCACTCAAAAGCTTGCTAAATGAATGAATGAGAAACACAGTGGTGTTATGCATTTAACCAAAGGCATTATCATCAATATCACGTCAGATGGTCCATCCACTAAATGGGTCTTTGACTTGACCCTCCCCCATAGCAATCATGGCTAGCTGATGAGTCAGCCATGTTTCTACTACCTGTAAATTGACTACACTCAGACAACATTTTATCCCTAAATGACTTCTCCACAAAGTTTCTAATTTGTTTAGTGGCGTTATTAGGAAAATCACCACCCATCAATTAGAATGTGTTTGAGGTAAGCAAAATTTTACTATTAATCTAAGGAAGATAATACAAAAGGAGATATTTGCTGCAAAAGGGTTACATTTCTAAATCCACTATAGATGAATTAGCATGTTGGCACAAGAAGCACAAGGGAGTTTGGAACTTGAGCGATTTTCACTTTAAGTTATTACTGAATACTTAACAATATATAAAGGTTTCACAGATGATACCAAGATAGGCAAGTCTCCACCCCCCATTCTCACCTTCCAGCTGTGTGGTGTTTCACTGTTTAATTTTAGCCTCACATATATCATGTGAGATACTCATTTTCTTCTCCTGAAAGGCAGATACGATTTTTGAAGCTGTGCAAGGTCAATTAGCATCCTCAAATCAAAAAAGCAGGTAGGAAGTAGAGACAAGATTTGAATCCAGGACTCTCAAATGCTAAGCTCTTCTGCACTCAATTCATAGCTAGTTAATATATGAACCCAGACCATCTTCAATATGAAGTATAATGTAACCAGGCATTTTCGAAGAGGGTTCTACCACAAACTGTTTTGAGACAGTTGTCCACTGTCTCAAATCCCTGTAATTCATGTGCAAATATCAGTTTCAGTATATATGAATTTAATGTTATTATTCATTCCTATGACAAAGTAAATTGTATCTTATATAGTGACCACTTCACTTCAGGTTATCCTGAGTACAGATTTTTAAAAAAATAAAAGAAGTACCAAGTCAAAATCAAGAAAGATTATTTAGCCAGGATCCGCTGTTTTCCACTCTTGTATTCATCAGCTAGTAACAGTCATAAACCACCAGGGAAGGCTTGGAAACCAAGCATCATCTATCCATACCATTCAAATCTAGTTTTCAAATCATTCTGAATTTAGAACGTGCATATTGATAATCCCAAAACCAAGAATCCTTTCTTTAAAAAAAATTTATAAAGCTCTACATTTAAATTCCAAGTATAAAGAAGCTGAACATGATTAAAAGAAAACTGAACAAAACGACAAAGCCCCTTCCAAAAAAAACCTTCAAGACAAATCGTATCTTTAAAAGCCAAAAAATTCCTTCTGGTAACTGGACATCAAGAATAACGTCAACATCACTTGTCCCCAGCTATCCTTACAAGCAACCTGTGGTCTCAAGACTCGTAGGGATTTATGGAACCATTAATCCAAGCCTTGGTCCAAACGGCCATGGCAAGGATTCTAGAATCCCACCACAGAGAAAGCCACATGAACAATCATATGGCCTAAGACCTCCACACAGGCACTGAAGACTCCAGGTCAACGCCACACTTCAGCACATGTATTCTACACTCTGTGTGTGGGAATGCCTTCTTTTTTGCATTGTCCTGTTTAATCTAATATATATGCCACAGAAGATCCTTCACAAGAGGTAGAAAAATCACGTACAGACTGCTCCTGGCATGAGAAGAACAGTGAGAAGCAGGCTACTTAGAACCACAGTCAAGTGATCTAAAAGCACAGAGCTGAAGCACTCCACAGGCCTCCGAGTGGGACTGAGGCGGGGGTCAGGGAAGGGGAAATCAGGAAGAGTCCTTACAGTAACAAAGTGCTGGTGGGACACACAGTAAACTCCAGTTTATCCCAAACTGTGCATAATTCAAAGCAGCAGCCATTCCCCTGCCATCTACATTGCTTTTATTAGCATACTTTAATTAAAAATTTAATTGCATATTTTAATTAAAAATACACAATCTTCTGGACCCATTTAATTCAAAGGTCACTTTATTTAGTCTTTTCTATTTCAAATTACTACCAATGTGCAGAATATCAAATTACCCCCTCAGGTTTAAAGGTAAAGGTAATAGACCTCCATAATTCTTGATCATAAACCTGGTACGTTAATTTTATCCAACTAATATT